AAAAAAAAAAAAAAAAAAAAACTGAGGACAGATGAGTAAAAAGGTAATTTTTTTTTCCCCGGTAAACAGTTGTAATTTTTATATTAGTGAATAAATCAGTGACCAACAGAAATAGTATATATACGATGGCATATTTATATAACTGTAACTCTTTAGTGTCTGTTACATTTTGCCTTAAAACTGCAACTGTTCTAAAGAATTCTAAGTCTGCAAGCATCTGTTATTAAAATTTATAAGTTATTTTAAGAAAATTAAAAAGACGATAGAGAGGAAGAATGATGTCATTGTTACTAATTCAACAGAAAATTTTCTAATCCTAATATTATTTCATACTACAACAGAAGTTTTCTCTGTTCCATATTTACTGCCAATTTTTGAGGTAATTTTTTTTTTTTAAAAAAGAATATATCCATTGTTAAAGATAGACATATTTTTTAGAATAATTGCTCAGTCATTTGCCTTAACCACAGAGGCGAATAAAACCAGAAAATTCACTTGCTTAAAAAAGTAATAAAGTAAGAAGAAATGGCAGTAAAAAAAGGATTTCAGCAAACCCATTGTACGTACTGTATCGTCCAACATTGTATGCAACAATTATGCATACAATTAACTTAAGAACTGGGGCTTCTACATATTTTTCAGCATGAAAAATATGGACAAAAAAAAAAAAATCAAAAAAAATCAAAAAAACGAGTTGACACTTCTTTTTAACGTTAAAGAAATAATAATTTCATATGAAAATTATAACTGATCTTTTAAAGCAACTTTTTTTCTTTTCTTTTTTTTTTTTTTTTTACACTTAATTTGAAGATCATCTTAGATTGGTAAAAAGAAAAAAGAACGATTGTTGGCAGCACTGTTGAGGTCAACAAAAGTGTTGCTGTATTCTCACAAAAAAAAGAAAAAAAAAAAGGTTATATAAGTGTGAGTACAGTTGCATAATAAAAAAACAGTTTCTTTTCTTTTAAATTCATTTTTATCCTTGTAAAAAAAAAAAAAAAAAACGACTTCTTCTTTAATGATTCTTTTCAGAGTCTAAATTTCTGTACCCAATTTAACATACCCATTTTCTGACATCATTTTGTAATAAATGTTTTGTAATAAACAAGTCCATTTAGTCAGTTATTAGATTTCTGAAATTAAATAATACATTATGGTTGAAAAAAACTAGGTAACAGTAATAAACCAAAATAAACTTTGTTTTAGCTTTAAACATTTAACTGTCCAATTTGTTCCAACCCACTTTTTAGCTTCATCCTCATTCACCTCATTCCGTTACACTTCTCTTGAAAACTATGGTAGCATATACGCATTTTAATAAGTCAGCCAGAAAACAACTGTAACTCAGATGGTGAACGCTGACGAAACTAATAATCAAAAAAAAAAAAAAGAAAATTCTACACTACTGAAAGGTCAAATTGAAAGTTTGGAACTGTTATTGATCAGTTAATTGTAAGTTCAACAAGTAGCAAAGGCCTATTTATTTAGTCTTTTTTTACACATTCCAAAAAAAAAAAACATTACTGGAAACAAATATACACTGCACATAACAAATATACTACATAAAATTTCACAAGCCTATTAAACCAAAGTTTTCGTTTAACGCTTGAGCAAATAAAGTTATTTCTGTAATTTGTTTGATAAAAAGCGAGCAACACAACAGGAAATTACGAACAATTACCGATGATTACAATAGCAGATAAATCATATTATCACTTCTGCTCAACAATGTCGCCATTAATCATGTGTTTTTAAAAAAATGTCTGATTAATATAACACCATATTCAACTGCAGAAGCCGCCGTACAAAATCCACCTGAAACCTGCAGTAGTGAATAATAGATGTCGCACAGCCAACCAGTAGAAAGAAAAGTCAAGAACTTACGTGTTTTCTCAAAAAAAGGTTTTAAAAGTCCACTACCCTTGCTTCCTTATAAAAAAGGGAACAGATTTCATCAGCGGTGCCTGTAAAACAGGACATAGAAGTAAATAAAAGTGAAAACCGAAAAACAAAAACAGTTACAGAGAAATAGCAGTTTACACAAATTTGTCAGAAAAGAAATACGACATAAGTTTTCTTCGAGTGTGAGGTGAGATTAATAAACAGTAAGCCATTAAGAAGGTTTTATTGTCATACCGTCGATAAAAAGGAGCAGTTACTGCCAGTTTTTTCTATCATACATATTACCAACGTTTAATAAAAGATTCATGTTTGTACCTCAACCTCAACCTTTGCAACTCCTTCGTATACTTTTTTGGTCAAATAATACTCCCATTTCCTTTCTGGAAGAAAAACAAAACGCTTCTGTTGGTTAGGAACTAAAACTGGAGCAACAATCAAATCGGCACCAACAGTATACTGGTCTTCACAGGTAAATGCCTCTTCTGAGTCATTTAACCACCACATAGGACTGAAATGTTAGCAGTTAACTGATTCCTTTATAAGAAAAAAAAGTGACTTGATCAAACTAATAATTTGTTATGATCAATTAGCTAAATATGCTCACCAAATTACTGGTTGGCCAGTTTCACAACAATTTTTCACCGCTGCATCTAAGTACACAAACATTTCTTTGCGTATATCCATCAACAAATGATACACAGCAACTGTTTCGTCATCAAAGTCCCAAGGTGTGTAAGAAAACTGCATAGTCAATAAAAATAAATTAGCCTGAAATTTACGCTGGACCTTACATTATGCATGGAAGAATTTGAAAACCAGTTCTGGTGAAAAAAAATAATGATAAGAACAAAATTTAAACCTGCATCCAACGAATATAAAGCTCCTTGCTGGGTTTACCCTCAGCATACGCATTTCCACCAATTATATCAGGCATATTAAAATAGTAACCCAAAATTGAAAAATTGAATGCTACTGGCAAAATTGTATCGATTCCAACGTTACTCCTTAAGTTTACATAACTCTTAGTAAGTTCAAAATTTTGATAGTTATCAATTAAAATCTTTCAAACAAAAATTTTGACTTTTAATCCTTTTATTTTTAGACATCAGTTTTTGCTAAAAACATTTACCAAGTAGAAAGACGATCTAAAGTCCTAAAAAAAATTGGAAGATTCTGACATCGGCTGAAGACCCGTGCCTAAATTATTAATTTTTAAAAGAGCATAAAACAATTAAGGGCTATGTTTATGACCAAATTTTTAGATGAATTTTTTAAGTAGTCTAATATTGAACAGTTCTGACAAGTTCAAATTCAAAAAAAGGATTCTATTGAAGACAAGCATCCTTGTAGCTCAGAACATTAGTTGTAGATGAATAGCCTTATTCAACTTTTCTAAACTAATTGTTTCACATAATTAGCACTAATATAATGCAAATTACTTTATAAACTTCACTAAAAAATTAAAAAATCTTTTCATGCAGCCCACATATGAGTCTTTTTAAATAGCAGATATTTGAGACACCAAAACTAGAATGAGGCCTTAGAACCAGTTTTTTAAATCTTTTTCACCTTTAAAAGTAGCAGTTTAAGCACAAGAAAGTGCCCTGATCAAAAAAAGTCAATTCTGATAACAGTAATAAAATGTAAAAATACAAAGACTTCAAAATAAGCCAAGAATTATACGCATTAAAAACTATTTTCGTTAATTTTAGACTCAAAAGGGCGATCATACCCAAAAGTGAAATTTTTTTGTGAAAATTTCAGAACACTTTTTCATTCTCTTTGCCGAACAGACTCATAACATTAGCCAGCTCTCACCTTTGGTTCAAAAAAAAAGAAAAAAAAAACAAATTTGTGTGGTTCAAATTTTCTGTTGACGTGCTTTTAAGGTCAACAGGTTTTCCACACGTGCCACAAACCATTCAGTGCTTGAAAAGCTCCAAAACTAGATAAAAATAAAAGAAGGTCATCTAAACCGAGTACATTTTAAAACAGTAGTGGTAGCCAGTCTCCACATCTTTTCGTAATTTAAATAAATTTTTTACCTACCTCTATAGCATTTCCAAACCCGCTTGCCATTTCAACGTAAGCCTTTGTGTAATCATTAGGACATTTTCCAGAGAAAAGTGCAAAGTCCTTTGGAAGATACGAAACTTCACCGGCATCGAACTTGAAGGAGAATATTCCTAACTGCGAAAAAATAGATATCTTTATAATAAAAACATGTTCAAGAAAAATATAGAGTAGTAGTAATTCAGAACTTTGATACTTTTCTTAAAAAATTTAATGTCATTTAAACAAATGCAAAGGCTGAAAAAACTTTTAAAAGTTGCTTTACTAAACAATTAATTATTTCCTGTAACTGCATCTGTACCAAACGGTGTACTGATTTAGTCTAAAACAAAATTTTCTTCACGCAGTGAGACCTTTTTCAACAAGTTCAACTGGTCCTTAAACCATTTAACAGCATCTGGATTTGTGAAATCCACAACAAATGCCTCCTGACCATTCCACCATTTAGTAACTCCCGGAACCCCGTCCTTATTTTTCACGCAGATCCCAGTCACTGTAGGGTCTTTGGCATTTTCAGAATCAATATTAATAAAAGGATGAATCCAAAGAGTTAGTCGAATATTCATTTCGTGTAACCGGTTACACATGCCGACCACATCAGGAAACTTTGACAGATCAAACTGAAATGACTTGTATGATTGATAAATTATTACCTGAAAGGCAGATATTGAAACGAAGAAAAAAAACAGAGATAAAGAAAAAAATATTATTTTATTTCCACAGTCTGATTGAAACCTCTCGTCATACTGACTATTTAGAAAATTCAAACATACCTATAAATATAAGAATACCATTTGTATTTGAAAAATAAAATCAAACCACAACTTATGTTTTAACAAATACACACCAAAATTTGCTTAATCCACATTAATACAGAAATTATTTTTAAAATAAATGAGAAAACAAAAAGATGACCTAATATTTCATTTCCTGTATTACTAGACCTTACAATCTCACTACCTGAAGACCTGAAAAACAATTTCTTACAAACGCCAAAAGGTTTCGTTGTAAAAAGCTGTCCAAATTACGTCGGCTTCCAAAAACCTGTTGATTCCTTTTAAAAAAATCAAAATACTGTGCGCCGTACATAGTGGCCAATGATCCAAATGTTGCACGAATCAGTTTTGGACGAGGTATTGTTTTTATACCGCTTTAAAATCTATGCATAAAAGCAAGCAACTTGACCCTATCTTTACAGAGCAAAAAACGTCAAGTAACTCACCGGAAACAACAATTTTGTATTTTGTAATATCAGTATTAAAAGCGGAAGTCAAACACATTGACTGGAAACAACAGTTTTCTTAGGCAAGCAATTTCTTAAGATTTACTAAATCTTCTACCTTAAAATCTCCGTACTTTGTGGACCATTTGTCGTCAAGTTCAATTTGTGATATGTCGCATCCATGTTGCTTTATTTCTTCAGCAAACTTCAATACCGCGCTTTGATCAATCTTGGTCTTGTATCTAAGCTAAATGCAATTTAAATTGAGTCCGGCAAAGCAAATTCACAGTTTACCAATATGTGGCTTACTTTTCATCAAAAGCCAATGTACAAGTATTATTTGCGAAACGATGAACACAGTACCTTGCCCAAGTGGTCCAGATTGGAGAACTGATCATTAACTCATCAGGAGCTTCAGGAAGCTGATGTATTAAAATGGAATGTACAGCAAAATGAAATGATTTTAGGCTCATTATCTTATCTGACATTGTTTTGAAAATTACGTAAACTAGGACCGGATTTTCGCTGTCTTTCTGGAAGCAAAAAGTTGTTTAGGAAGTTCATAAATTAAGTCAATTGTACTGAATGTGAATAATTAAAGATCCATTAAATAACGTTATAGTGAACAAATTAAATCAATCAGTTTTTGAATACCGTACAAAAAAAGGTTTGTAAACAGAATCTCGAATTTGAGCTTGTAGGAATAACTGCCCATCCTTATGTTTCGTCCACAATGGTACTTCCTCAGGTACATGAAGCGCATATTTCTCAGAACAAAGCCAATACCGTTCCAAACCAGACAATGTCACCTACAAATTAAAAAAACTATACAAAAATGAACAAAGATACCAAACTGTCAAAGCCTGCAGTAAGCTGTCATTATCATTAGGCATCGTCAGCAGCAGTGTAAGCGCCACTGTAAGCAATTAAAACAGTTTTGAAAAGTTGCTCCAGATGAAACTACAGGAGAACTAAAACATATCGAATTTGCACAGCAAAGAATATATTAGATCAGACAGTTTTAGAGATGAAACCTGTAGTGCATCGCCAACAAAGTACTGTGCGAAATCGTAAGAATTGTCGGCTATCGGCCACCTCTGTTGCGCTAATTCAGGCCCACCATACCAGTAACCTCCAGATTTTAAGTTAATACAATCTTTCAAATAATGTATGCAATTTGGGTTTGTCCACTTAACCGTATACTCTTCAATCAAATTATTGATCAGCGTCCTAGTTATTTGTAGCTGCGTTCCTTTAGAATAGGTTACCAACAAAGTATCTTTGTTGCAATAAAAAGTTTCTAAATTTTCATCCAGTGACTGGCCAATGTCCAATTTCAATGATACCGATTGGTTGTTGTCAATATACATTGTTTTGCCAGTTGAATCCAGCCGTAACGATCCCAGCTTTGCAACTTCGCTATCGCGCATAGTTCTTAAATTTGATCGTCGATTAATAACAAACAGCTTCTTTCAACAATGCCTTTATCCACTGAAGCAAAAAACAAAACGTAGCATAAGCTTTTTGCTGCTGCTTAGATGTTGTAAAGCAACAAAGATGAAGCGGGAACACGCACAGGATGTAAAGGGCACTTGCGATAGGATACAATGGGCTATGTCGGGGTAAGTACTTCTGCTAACCAGCAGGTATACGCGGTACAAAATGTCGAAGAGGTTAAAAGAGGTGAAGGCCTATCGGCTGGCGCTATCGCAAGTTGCCCAAAAGAGAGGTTTTATAAAGGTATAACAATCAATAAGATGTTCTCCTTTTCAGAACAAAATCGGAATCGACTAGGTGTGGCCTAACCGTTACATTTTACGATATCTCACCGTGGCTGTCTGTACCGTAACTGCTTACTGTCAAGTTACCGTAACTACTCTCATCAAAAGGTACTAATTTTGTTAGTTTTTTACTCTTGTCTTTGGCAGTGGTGCTGTTATAATCATTCCTTTTTCACAGTTCACTTCTGCTATCCATGATCCTTGTTATGAATCTATCATAATTCTCTATATTAATTTGTTCTCTCTCAAATCTTTTTCGAAATTTAATGAGGACCATGCAAATGATATTGCTCATTACGAGCTCGTTCACCGTCTCTTAAATAGCTTAATCTCAGTTTTATAAAATATGCATAACTATGGCGGTGTAAAATTTGACCAAAAACGCAAAAATGCACCAACAGTTACTTTCCCGTACATACCTCCAAACCTGCATTCAGCACTAAAAGAAAAGATTTCATGTTCCAACAATACTCAGTTTCACCAAAAACCTAGATATCACTAAGTTTTTATCAATATATTTAATTTTTGCGCACAACTGCAGAACAGAATACG